TAAAAGCAATAGAGAGATAGTAACAAAAAATATAAATAGAAAGGATATAGAGCCATAAAGGAGGAAAATTATTATTAGCAGTCTCATTGATGAGAAATCCTAACCTCCAGAATGTCGATCATACGTGTCATCTGGGAGTAGACCAAAACTCTATGTCCGCCAGCTTTCAGGAGCGCCAACAGACCATCAAGCACGACCAGCTTGCCAGAATCAGCTATACGAGAAACTGGTGAAACTAACTCAAGGGCGCCAGGACCAGATGCAGAAGAAAGCGAGCAAGTGCCTAGCAGGCAACAAACGCCGCCCCCAGACCCCTTACAAGTAGCAGCATTAGTCATAGTTACAGAAGAGATAGCAGGTGTAACTGAAGGATATGAATTAACTGGCTGACTAGCTTTTGAAGAACGATCATCAGCCAGTAGCTGAATGGATGGGGGGCAAAATTGGATACCCAGGTCGGCTAAGTGACCAAGAGATAATCCAAAGCCTGCAACAGATGCATGGAAGAAAGACTGGGTGGCTGCGAGACGAGAAGATCGGCCAGAAGACCAGGACGAAAATGAAGAGGTGAACAGTCCAGGAGGCTGAATAAGTGCGCTGTAGCGATCCAAGAAGTGGGCCACACTGACGTAAGGCCAAACAGGAGGGAAAATGGCCTTTTCGAGAAAACAAGTAGGAACGATGATTTAGTTTGAAATACTTTTATAAATGAGGAGTTAAGACTAAATGAGGAGCGATTTATAAAGAATAAAATTTTAATGCAGAATTATTAAAAACTAAGTTGTCAAATACAATAAATTAAAATAAGAGTAGCACGTAAAAAATTCTGCCAAGGCAGCATAACAACGTCTAAGAAAAGCAATACCTTGTGAAGCATCAGTTACTTATCTTCTTTTGTGTATATGTATGTATTCATATATATATATATATATATATAGAGAGAGAGAGAGAGAATTATCTGTATGCTTTCTTCTAATCTACGCTCTATTTATATCTACTGAGCATTATAAAACAGAGAGAGTAAGTGTCAAAGCAACATCAGGGTAAAAAATACACGAGACGCAATATACAAATGGTGATGAATTTAAGTATAGTGAGGTAATATATGGTCCTGCGCTATTGTGGTTGCGCTTGTGTGGAGAGACCTATCAGCCAAGAGAACTAGTGAAGATGAAATTGTTCGCAAGGATATATAGCAATCCTTTTATGCAGCTCGACCTTCTAATCACATTTGTATGAGCTAGTAGCAGCTAATTCCCCACTCCTTCTAGTGACCCAGAATTTTTAGTGAGTCCAAAAGGTGATGGCGAGTCCCAGGTCCTTCTGGCTTTAGCCATAGTATTTGCCTTTATGTTTCACCCAAATATTTAGCACCCCAATCCTCGGTCTAGGACATAGTTTAGAGACCGCCTTGTAAATTATGTCTGTTGGATAACAGGCTCCTCT